TGTTGTGCCCATTATGTGAATTAAATATGTATTCGGCTGCACACTGCTTGCGATGTTATTGCTGGGTGACATATGGTACCAGCTCAATTAGAATGAAGCTGGCATTAGATAACCCTGATCGTCGCTCGCATCCCGACCCGCTCTCCGGGCTGCCTGCCGCAGCGCCGGCCGACGTGGCACTCAGGCGAGGGGCTCCTGCCCCAGCCCGGTTGGCGGCGGGCCTGGCACACGGGGGCCCAGAAGGGGCCGGGGCCGTGAGCGCCGTCGTTAGCGCTCGGCTCCACCTGCGGCACTGCCCCAGCGCTGCGCTTGGCACGGGGTGGGGAACGGTGGCGGGGGGAAGGGTTATGGGCCCCCCCCGGGTGCTGGCCGCGCCGCTCCAAACGTGCCTGGGAGTGCGCATGCGGCGACAGCGGTGTGCCTGGCATCACTCACGGCTTGGCCCTCGGTAACGCGCCGCGCCAGGCCCGCCCCGCCCGCCCGCCCGCAGCAAGGCCATCTCTCATTCTCATTCTCCCGCTCTCTTTCTGGCCTGCGTAACAAGGAAATGAATGTGCATATTCACCGTCCGTACCGCTTCACCTCCTCTTCCTAACATTAATTATGAAATGAATTACTAGGCCCCTTTGGTGCAGAAAGATGTGAAAATAATGTACCTTCCTGCTCTCTCTACAGAGGCGCACGCTTGCAGCCACGGCAGAGGAACAGCGGTCTGGCTAAGCAGGCATGAGTCTCCGTCCGCCAATTTCGACTTCTGGGTTGCCTTTGGAAGTACAAAAATGCAGGCTTCCGGGGGCGCTCAGCACGTGAGACAGGCGGCCACTAGGCCCGGCACGGGAATCTTCAAGCGTCGCCGTGAGCAAACTTGCCTTCAGGCCCATGCGAGCTGGGAAGGAGGCCCGGTCTGCGGCTTCGGCCTTCGCTCACGGCCGTGCGGACGCAAAAGGGACCCAGAGGCCCAGCAGGCACCGCACGCCTCCTTCCGGGGGCCTGTCCTCACAAGCATCTCGCACCTCCTGATGGGAGGTAGAGGATTCCCACCGGCTCATCCCGGGCCATCTCGGGCACGCCGAAGCATCCCTGACCTCTCCCAGAGGCCGGGTCATCGCCACCTGGCAGCCCTGCTCTCGCGTGGCTTTTTGGGGGAGGCAGACTGCCGCCTTCCCCTTGTCACTCCCCTGCTGCGTCCACAGCCGCTTTTGTCTCCCACCTCTGGCCTCCCACGGCAGGCGAGTCCCCTCCCCAGGAAGAGCGCCCGGCTGCGGCATGGCCGAGGGGCTTCCTTTGCACTGCCACCAGCGTCGGCCGCCTCCTGCAGGGCAGTGTTGAGACGCAGAAGCCCCACGCGGCCCTTCAGGTGGAGTGAGCTGCCAGGGGGCTCGTCCCCTGGGGGAAACCGGAGGGTGCACGCCTGTTGGGGCCAGGACCCCAGAGGATGTGGCGATGAAGCCAGAGGGCACGCCTCGCAGGCGCCAGCCAGCGCTTTGGTTTGCCCTGGACCCCGGAAAGGTGCATGAGAGGAAATGCTGAGAGAGAAGCGCGAGAAGGAGAAGCCCAGAAGGAGAAGCCCGTGCGTGGCAGAAAGGGGGGCTGCGGCGAGGAGCCTTTGAAGTGCCTGGGACCAGCCCCCCCCATGCACGCTTGCTGCGCGCCCCTTTGTTTTCACACGCACTCGCGCACGCACGCGCGCAAAGGCCCCGGCAGAAAGCGAGCGGGACGCTGTCGGCCGCAGCGCCACTGTTATTTATTTTCCTCAGTCGCTGCTCTGCAAGCCCAGGGTTGACAGAGCGGTTTTGTAGAATAGAAACATTATAGACTGTTACTGTCAGAGTGTTAAATGTGATGGATAGAGAGCGCGCGGAGGGGGGCCCTCGCCATGTCTGCGCGCAGGGTGCTCATGGGAAGGCAAGCCAGCCGCGCACACGGAACGAATGAGGTAATGTGGCAGGAGGTAATGGGCTCTCGCGGCGCCAAAACAGCCGCGCTCGCTTGTGGTGCGGGACGGGCTTAACCCTCTCTGTGCTCCTCGTTCCCCGGCGTGCGTGGCCGGGCTGGAGCCTGGCCTGCGTTTCCCAGGCGCCCCCGGCCTTGGAGGCCACCGGTGGGGGTGGGGGGTGGCGCGCCTTGGGGTGCCCGCGCAGGCGCCCCTTCCGCCTGGGCTGCACTCCTGCTTGTGGCGTTGCGCACCGGGCCTTTGCACGGCACGCCTGGCGTCCCTCCCTCGGGGAAGCTTCTGCGAGCTTGTTTGCAGATCACAAAGGCGGGCGCAGTGGGGGGGATGCTCCGGGTGGGCCTGGCAGAGGCAGGGCTGCCGTCGCGGCCCAAAGACCCCTCCGGGGCCCTGCTGGGGAGGCCGATTCTGCCACCGAGAAATGCCAGCGCAGTCCTTCGCGAGTGCTGCAGAATTTGGGATTTGCAGTCAGGTAAAGACCAGAAAGCCCTGGTATCTGTAGCGGCTGGCACAGCACGGGGCCTCAGCGCTGGGCAGGAGCCGGAGCAGCTGAGGGCGCACCGTGCGAGCTGAAGCACTCCGGCTGCCGGTCTCAGGCTGAGCAGCACACAGGCAGTCCCAGGCAAGCTGCCATTGCTTGGATTTTGTTTTCCTATGATTCAGCTCAACCGAAGCGGGCAGTTTGGCTGACTTCCTTGAGCGGCGTGTTTCAAAAGGATGTCTGTGTTCCTGGGGGGTTTGCATGATGTGGATGCTGGGGCTGGCTCCCCTCCCTGCGTGGGCCACTCAGGAGCCCTGAGAAACCGGGACTCGCAGCCCCTTTTGTGGCTGTGCTCCCTTGTTTGAATCAAGCCCCTCTGCAGCTGGCCCTGCCCTTTCCAACCCCAAGCCTGATTTGCACTGGCCGGGCGGAATGTGCATCTCGGTAGGGGTGTTGTTGCGCCCCTTGGGTCCACGGGGTGTGTGTCCGGGGCACTGCCCCTTCCCTGCCGGGTCCCGCAGCGCGGTTTCTGATGAATCCGTGCCGCCGCCAGCCCCTTCACGGCAGCCGCTGGGAGCCTCGGTGTGCTCACGGGTGTTCCCTTTGTTTAAAATGTTTCCTTTCTGAAAGCACAAAACGCCGAATTCGGCGGGACTCGCTTTCAGTGGGAGGCTGCGACAGTAGCTGCGGAGCATCCTTCGTGCCAGGTGTGCTGCACTGGTTCCCGGAGCCCCTGCGCCAGCTCCGGGGAGCCGGGGCCGGGCGGGCAGCCGCAGCGAGCAAAGCTGCCTGCCGCCCACCTCTGTCCTGCTCCCTCCCAGTGGAGGGCGAGCCTTGAAATGCCGCTCGAACTCGTTGGCGTCTTGCCTCCGGCGTGTGCAGACGGGTGCCCCAGACGCCACGCCTGCCGCGTCGCATATTGGTGCGGCGGACCCTTCGGTGGGCCGAATTGGGAGGCACCCTCTGGATTTGCACCAGTGCAGGTCCCTGCCTTTCAGAAAACGGGAGGCCGGGGAGCCCTAATCAGTGTGCAGAAGCGTGCCTTGTGCTCTCGGGCTGGGGAGAAGGCTGAGCAGTGGTGAGCCTTAATTTTGGAATTGGGGTGTTACAATCCAGGCCCCTTTCCTCATCGGTGAAATTTTGGAAAGTCGCTGTTTAATGGTCCAGACGAATGTAACAGCGATGCTGTCATCGCTACCATTAACTCTTGGATCTCAGAGTTTTATTTATTTATTTATTTACTTACTTATTTAGAACATTTCTGTGCCGCCCCCATCGCAACAAAGCCTCGGGGCAGCTCACAACAATGCGAGTTCTGTGGCAATGTGGATTGTCTGTGACAAAATTATTTTAAGACATTAGTTTGAAATCATGTCATCCATCATTTTGGAAAAAGAAGATACTGTGTTGTTTCAGCTCCCTCCTTAAGTTTCTCTTTTCTCCCTGCCGTCTGCTGCCTGGCCCCCACACTGGCCATTTTGTGCTTGGAAGGCCGGTAGCTGTGTGGCACCAGCAGGGCCCGCATCCCACACCAGGCCTTGCGATGGCGGCGACAGTACCGCGGGGCCCATTTCTGTGCTAGGCTCTGGCCTTTCTGCAAGCGTGCGTCCGCGCCGTGGTCTCCACAGGGCCACGGGTGGGACTCCCACGGGCTCCCCCTGCATCGTTCCCGTCCGCTTCCCAGGCACGCCGCGGAGGACCCCGTGCTGGACGGTGCCCGAGCTCTGCAGGGCCTGCCTTCCGTTCCTGGGCCAAGCCATCGTATCCCTTTGACTCTCGCATGGGTACACCGGGAGAGGCCTGACGCTCGTTCTCCCAGTCCTGCCCAGCTTGGTGCTCCACTGCCCCCAGCACCCCCGGCCTCTCCAGTTGTAATGGCTGGCGTGGCATTTCAGAGGCGAGCTGAGATTCCTGGCCCGCAACGGTAGCCTTCAGACCCAGTTTTATGTACTCAGCCTCCCGCTGTGTGAGAGCGGGATGGGGCCCAGGGCACGCGAGTCCTGGGATCCTGCTGCTCCGCGCCCCCCCCTCCGCCATGGGGCGCTTGGGTGGCCCTGTCCAGCTGCCCGCTCCAGCACCGCCTCTGCTTGGACAAGGAGGCGGTGTCTGAGCACCTTCTCCGGCTGCCGTGCTGATGGCCAGCAAGACGCCGCGGAGCGCCCGGGGAATTGCAGCACCCCGGCGGGTCGGCATGACCTTCAGCCCTTTTGCTGAGATCTGCTCGCAGTCCTTCTGGCTCCTGACAAAAAGCTCAGAAACCCGAGGCCCGCTGAGACGCACACGTGGCGATATGCCCAGCAGGATCCAAAGGCATGAAAAATATTTGTCGGACGCGCTGCTGGTGGGCCCGCACCCGCACGTCCAGGTCTCGCTGCGTTCTGCCGGCTGGCCAGCTGCCCTGGGGAGCTCCCCGCCCTTCCTAGCCGGTCCCCTCCTCGCGAGGGGCTGCGCCCCAGAGAGCGCGGCAGGAGGACTCGCCCCGCCAGCCCCCTTCGGAGAGGCCCTGCAGGTCCGTTTTGATGAGCGCCGCCTCCACCATCATGTCCCCGAATCACATTTAGATCAAAGTGATGAGTAAATATAATCATTTATTAATTTTTTCCTGGAGAAAAGGCAGCTCTGCCTTAGTGTTATTTGGTAAAATGTGCAATTGAAACTTGTCACAAGTAATTTATTCCTGCTGGCTGTAATCTGAAGGAATACAGACACAAGACCTATCGGATGAAAAAAAGCAACAAACAGGTAAAGTATTCTAGCTTTCGCTGACAGTACAAAGGTGTCATATACAAGAAGGATTGACACAGACCAAGGGGTCTTGTGGGAAATATGATAATAACTATAAAGAAGACAGATTATTCCCCAGTTGCCAACATTCAAACCTTTTTACAGTCAGTTCAAACATATAAAACTTTATTGCTGTAGCAGAAAGGGGAACCATTCCGGGTTGTGCAGCTTTCCCTGGGCTGGCTTTATACTGTCTGTGTTATTGCTCTATAGTGGCATTTTAAAGTTTATTGAACAAGACTTTTACAATTGAAGGAAGTATATAAAACTGTAAATTTATTAGATTTTTCAGGATAAGTGCCCTTTCTAGTTGTGCTCAAGAATTCGGAGCTACGAGGAACCACTAGTTACAAGGCTTATTAATATTAAAGACGGTGGGTGCGCGCATTTTATACCCTGACCCATCTCAAAAATAATATTATTACATCATGGGAAGCCAGAGCTGTCACAGCACAGAGGTGTGCAGATCGTGAGCGCGAGGTGCCGTGGCTGCCGGTGTGGCTCTGCAGCGAAGCCGCGTGGCGGCAGTGCTGTGGGCCGCCAGCTGGAGCAGCCCCCCCAGAGGCCGGTGTGGCCGCAGTCCTGGGGGAGCAGCTTGCGCCCGACATTGCGCCAATTTGCATTCAGGAGTTCATGGTCCTGTGCGAGTCTTTGAGCCGCTCGTGGGCAGTAGCATCTGCGAGGCACTTGCACTGCGCTGGGGGCGGCAGAGTCTCTCTGACTGTATTTTATGCATGTGTTCATGCGCCGAACCCAAGAGGGCCGCTCCCGCACCGAGGGCTTCCTGCGTGGAGCAAGCTTAGCCTGCGAGCTGCCAAAAGCGAAGGCGTGAAGCGGCCGCCCTTAGGCACGGGTGCCAAAGTCTGGAAGTGGCCACCAAAAAGGCCCCGCTGCCCAAAGCTGGCAGCCGCAAAGGAAGGAAGGACTTTCCTGGAAGACCCTGGAAGCAGGCGTGCTTTCATGGGGCTGGGCGGCCCTTCCGGTAGCTTGGCACCAAGCCAGCTGCGTGGGACCTTCTCGGTCGTAAGGCTGGAGAGGGAGCCGCGTGGCGCAGCGGTGAAGAGCACGGGGCAGGGGCTCGGGCGGTCCGGGTTCCGGCCCCTGCTCAGCCACGGAGCCACGTGGCGGCTTTGGGAGTCCAGTCTCGCCCAGGCGCTCAGCCCAGCCACCGTCACTGGGTGGTTGCTGTGCGGGTGCAGTTGAGGGCAGGAGCCGGGGGGGGGGGCACGCCGGCGGGTTTTTTGCTTTTTTAAAAAGGGGGGGGGGGGAATTGTGGGACAGAAACCTAATGCATAAATACATAAGAAAGGTGAGATGTGCCTGGAAATAGGCTGGTCATTGGTGCTGTGTACAGCAGGTGCGCTGGCAGGTGGGCCAAGGCACTGGTGGCGTAGGGGAGCCGCGGGCTCCTCCCTCGCAGGTGAGTGCCAACACCACGCAGGGGCACCTTGTGTACCTTGTTCTGTTCATCAGTGGGTGCGTGCAGACGGCCCTCTGTGTGGATCGGGCCCTGCCGTATTCTTGGACACCACGAGCCTTTCCAGCCCTGGCTCAGCTGCGGGAGTGGCGCGGCCTCCACTGGTCTGCCCAGATAAGAGCCCTGTCACTGTAAGCACACCTGGATGGATGGGCTGGCCTTCCGGGGAGAGACCCCTCCTGTCTCCATATGGCGGAGGCAGGCGCGCTTCCCAGGCAGCCACACTTCCTCCGTGTTTGTGCCTGCGAAAGGCTTTTTTTAAGGCTTCTGAGCAGCATGAAATGGCTGTGAATGCGGGAAAGTCAATAAGGCCTGAATTTTTGATGAGACCTTGGTTATTCTGATCACAGTTCTGTGAGGGCTGAGATGAGAATACAGATTGCGGCTGGGTAGGAGCCTGGCCGGCATCTCCCCGGCCCTCCACACCGTTCCACCCTGTGCGCTCCCTGCAGCTGGGGGCGTCTGCGGGGGCATTTGGAGGCAAGGCCATTACGACAGCTAATGGGGCTAAGAGCATTATCCCGCGGTATTTGTAATAGCAAAACAAGGCCCCGCTGCGGAAAGCTGGGAGTAAAAGAAAAGGGAAGCCTCGCAATCCCTTGTAATCCTGCGTGGCACGGTGCGGCGGCGGCGGAAGACCCAAAGGCCCTCGCGGCATTCATCCCGGGTCTCATGGAGGGGGCGACGAGCGGAAGGGGACCCTTGTGCCGAGATGAATTAATGCCGGAGCGCTTGTCTCGGGAATGCAAATGCGGTTCAGAATCTCTCCGCTAAGCCTCCCCTTTTGGGAAAGGAAGAAAGCTCTGCACAGAAGGGACTCGGAGGGAATGCAAATGAGGGCTTACACCTCAGCCAGCGGCCCTCGTCACAGCCCAGCCCAGCCCAGACGGGGCTCCTGCAGAAAGAAGTGGCAGGCTTGGGCGGCGGGGCTGGGGGCCCCCACCCTGCGGGTCGGGGGCGCTATAAAGGCCCTCGCCAGCAGCAGTCTGACAAGGAGACCCCCCTCCCCTTCAGATGACTGACCAGGACCGCCTGGGATCCCACAATTTATCCGATTTAGGGTTTCTGGCCCAGGGACAGCTCCCAAGTCCCCCCTGCCTCTCATCATTTTATATAATCACTGGATTAATCAGTGAGATGAACAAAAACTGGGAAGGGCCCCTGGACAAGGGTCCCTCGGCTCGCCTCGCCTTGCCTCTGATTAATCCTGAGGTCACTGCCGAGAGCAGCCGCGCTGGACGACTGCAGGGCTCGTTAGTTAAGGGCCTCTCCTGCGATCAAGTTCGTTCTCCAGAACTGGTTTCCTGAATGAAACAGGCCCGGTGGGGAATCGTTTTCATGTCGCCCGCTTGCTTTATGAGCGGAAGGAAGGCTTCGGCGGCTTTGCCCCAGGTCACGGCCTCGGAACGCACCTCTTCGCCTGACCTTGTCTGCATGCGGTGGCAAACTGCGGGTCATCCGGGGGCAAATGATTCACCCACGGTTTACAGGTGTGCCTGGTGCGGGGTGCCGCTTCCAGTCTGAGCCACCGCCTGTGAGCACGCGGTTCGTGGGCTGCTAGTGCGACTTTGAATCGACAGTTTGGGCTGCCCGTGAGTCAAAGGCCGGAGATGACCGGAGACCCGCACCGGGGGGCGTCCCGTGCGTCTGGCTTGCTTGGCCGTGCATTGCCCGGGATACACCAGCCTGAAAATCGAAGATACAGATTCACCATGGGTGTGGCGTGAAGCCTCCAGCTGCTCCTGGTTCCGGGGCATGCTTGGAATCGGACGGAGTGCTGCGGGTGTCACCGCAGGTGCGCCAGAAGGACCGTGCTGATCAGGCCGAGGGCCCTGCGGACCAGTGGCCTGGCGGCTGCCGAGGGGCCCCAGGCCGGCTGGGAGCGCAGCGGCCGCCTCCCGCCCCGTTCCCCAGCAGCTCAGGGAGGCGGCCTGTGGCCGTCGGGAGCGTGGCCCGGCCACGGTCCCTGACCTGCGGGGAGCCAGGGTGAGAGCCCCCGGAAGGGCCTGCCCATGGCCCCCCGGCACCGCTCACCGCCGTGGAGGCCTTGTGGAGCGAGTGGGCGCATCTCAGAGCGGCCTGCCCTCGGAGCCCTGGCACGATCGGGCGCCTGATTTGGATTTCTTGGCTCTCCTGGAAGAGGCCTCTGGCTTTCCTCTTCTGTTGCTCTCTGGTTTTTCTTTGCCCCATCATTATAATAGCTCCTTTTGTCTGCACAGCAGTCACTCAGAAGTTGTGCTGAGGCTGCTGGCCCTGTTTCAGCCACCTTTCTCTTACTTTTCACCTGCCCTTCGCAGCCTCCCATTTACTATGGAATTGCCTCTTTGTGTTCTTCCCTAATGCCTCTGTTTTCAGTCCACCTTTGTTCTGGCTCAGGGTTAGTTAAGTTGAGTTATGCCAATTTAGTTTTTATGTGGACTTTAAATTCCTTAGGAAAGTTACCTATGTTGTATTTTGGCCCTATGTTTCTGTTGGTGATTTTTAAATTTTAGTTTTAGAATTTGACTCAGAATTTTGATATTGAGAAGTCATTCTCACTACCACAAACTGCTCCTGATCTTGGTTGGGCTGTAGAAATACCGCTTCGTCACCTTCCGATTCCAATTATGTAGTCTGTTTGACTTGCGTGTTGGCCCTCCAGTGCTCAGTGTCCTCTTGAATACCTGCATAAAAGCTTTCGATTTCCTCTCCTTCACCATCTGGAGCCGAGACTTGAGCATTGGTTCTGTTCATAGGTTTCCCACAAACTCTTACATTATTTGGTCAGATTTTGCATTATAGTCTCCTACTGCTTCTACTGCATCTTGCCTTAATATGAGAGCCACTCCATTTCTTCCGAGCTTGTCATTTCCAAATTGAAACACTTTGTGTTTGTCTGACGGGAAGTGCCCCGTTCCAGCCCGCTTTAGTTCTCTCATACCAAGTACCGCAACGTTAGGCCACTCCACTTCCTGCTTCGCCGTGTCCAGTTGTCCTGGTCTGTGCTTCTCGCGTGCCATGTGCTCACTGCGGCATCGGACCTTGCCTCCGCCTCCGTGCATGTCCGCCCCGGCCTTCCTTCCGGCTTTGATCCAGTTGCGTCCTGAGCGGCAGAGCTGTTCCTACCTGCCCTTGGCCCTTCCCCAGCAGCCCGTTGGGCACCTTCCCACCCGGAGCCTCATCTTCCGGTGCTGCCTCTTGTTTCATTTTGGATCATTTTGGCACGGGGTTTTTTGGTAAGGAGATTCAGAAGTGCCTTCTTCTTCTGAATGAGCATCGCTGCCGTTGCCTGTGAAGGATCCCCTGCCAGGCCGCCTTCCGACTTCTCCCGGTAGCTGCCCTCCAGGTGCTCCTCTGGCCCCATCACCACCAGGGAGGGCCACCCTCCTCTAGGGATGTGGCCACTCCAGCTGAACGGGGCGGCTGCATCTTGGTCGGGTGTCTCCCCGCTGAGCGCCCGCCTTGGGCGCCCCTGCTAGGAAGCCAGCCTGGCCGCCTGGCAGCATCGCTCTCGGCCGCTCCGACGCCCTCACACCTCTCGCCACGTTCAGGTGCGCATCCCAGGCGGGGCTGTTCTTCTTGTTGTCGCTGTTGGGACACTGCCCCAATAGTGTGAGGTTCCCTTCTCCATTTTGTCTTCACAACAGCCCTGCGAGCGAAGTGGGGCTGGGAGCAGGCGCCTGGCCCAAAGCCACCCGGTGAGCTCTGCGGCCGAGTGGGGGCTGGAGGCTGGATCTGCCACATCCCGGTCCACCCACCTAACCCAGATCCCAACCACCGAGCGGCCTGCCCCTCCTTGCATGCTCCCGGCCCCCCAGGAAAGCCGTCCGGACTGGGAGTCCCGTGAGTGCCCTCACTGAGCCACGAGCTGTTTTCTGTCCTCCTCCTGTCCCCCGCTTACCTGCCCTCATTTTAACATGCATTTATGTATCTGTCTGTTTCTACAAAGGATAAGTAGCTTTGCCAAGCACTCTAGTGCAGGGCAGTGCTGGGGTTTGCACCCCAAATCCTGAACAGCGTGTGTTGCTCTGCAACAGCTGCTCCTTTCCCAGAACGAAAACGGAGCAGGCAAGCGATGGTGCTCGGAGGCACCGGCCTGCAAAACTGCAAAGCTGAGCCCCAAATGCCAAATCCCATAATTCTCCCCCTCAGCGCATACAAACAGTCGCGATGAATCGCCTGCTTAAGGAAGGCAAGCCAGTGATGCTCGGACAAAGCCTCACTGCTAAAAAAAAGCCCCATGCGGCCAAAATTGCCCCCATCAGGTAGCTGCCCCCCCCCCGAGCAGAACCCCCTGGTCGCTGTGCCCCGGCCCCAGGCGCAGGTCTTCCCTGTGCCACCCCTTCCCCCAGCCGCCCCTTTCCTTTCAGTACGGCAGCCGCTTCACCTTCAGTACGGCAGCCGCACAGGGAGAGGCAGCCCTGGCCACCAGCCTTCGTTTCCAGAGAGCATATTTTAAATGCTTTTTAACAATGACAACTGGGCAGGGCGGAGGGCTGCATGGGCCCTTGGGGCACAGCCGGAGGGCCGGGAGGGGGGGGCTTTGGTGCCCACGGGTGCCATGTTGCCAGCCCCCGAGAAGGAGCACCTCAGGGGTCCACGCCGGAAGAGATGTTGGCCCTTGGAGGGCGGGTGCGGCACGACCCCGCAAAGCTGCAGGAGCCGGGTCCTCTGCGGGGCTGCGTCCCGCTTGGCAGGGAGTGTCTTGGCTCGCACGTCCTGCGCTTGCCCCAGCGGTGCCTCTGCCTCGGTGCGATGCACTTGCCCTGCCGTGCCGTGCCGTGAGCAGGCGCGTCAGCACAAGGAGATTCTGCCTTCTGGCGTGCCAGAGTTCTTTGTCTGACCTTCCCGAGTCCTTTGAAGTGCGGAGCGGAGGGATCGTTTTCCGCTTGGAGACGACGACGAAGAGGAGGGAGAGGGAAGGGCTGAGGGGCCGGACCGCTTGGCAACACGCTGGCTGGCGCTCTGGGCAGGCTTCGGAAGCGGGTGCTGCCGGTGTGCGCCGGGGTCGGGCCGTGCCGGCCTTGGGCTGCGTGGGCCGGAGCCGGGCTCTCCCTCTCCATGTTCCAGGCAAAGGACGGGGAGACAAGGGGGGGGGGCGAGGCAGGAGCTGCCAACTGGGCAGTTGCGTCTCGTCTGCCGGCTGCCACTACCCACTCGTTACAATTAAAATGAAGTGTCCGTCAGCGGCTATCTTCGCTGTGTGGCCCATATGTTTCTGAGCTGATACTGTCCGGATTATTCTGTTCGGGAAAACGATAACGGCTGTTTATAACCTTGGCAAAGACGGCGGCCTAATCAGTCTGGAGCACATTTTCGCAGCCTGCCTGATAACAGGCTGTTCGCGGCCTTATCGCCGGGGAGAGATAGGCCGCAGCAAGCAGATCTGTGCGCGGGAGCCCAACCTCGGCACGCGCACTCCGGCCGGCCGCTCCCTCGGGAGGCCCCTTCCCGGCTGATTTCCCGAGCACCAGAGGCGTGCGGGAGGATGAGTGCACAGAGGGGACGAGGCGCAGCCGGCCGCGTGCTGCGTTCACACGGGGCCTTCTCCAGCGGAAGGGGCGGGGGAGCGAGGCGGCGGTGCGGGGCTGCCATATTCCCCGTCCGCCCGCAGCATCGCTCCGGAGGCGCTCTCCTCCCGGGCCTCCGCCTGCTTTGTGTCCCTCGTAGGTGCTTTGCCTCGCGTCGCGTTGTGTTGCTTTGTGGCACTGCTCACACAAACTGCTAGGCAAGCCGTGGCGGGGCCGATGCCCACGCCTCTCTTGAACGCCACTCCGCAGGTCGTCCGCGCTGCGTGAAGAGTGGGAGCCTCCCGGGAGTGCCCGTTGGGCGCATGCTGTCTTGGGGTCCCTGCTCGCCTTTCCTGGGGGGTCCCACCAGGCCAGAGCCCTTTCGGGTGCCGCGCTCAGGACCACAGAGCACGTTGGATTCTCCCACGGGAGGAGAGACACTCGCTCCCCTGTGAGCCAAGGGGGTGCTGCTTCCCTGGGAAAGCCGCTGGGACAGGTCTGTTCAGAAGGAAGGCCCCGACGTGGCCCCTGCCTCCCTCTCTGGACTCCCCAAGAGGCACAGGCAGAGGCAGCTGCGGCCGGGCTCCCGTGGCCGGTGGCAGCCGACGGCACAGGCACCGCCTGCGGGGCCCAGGGAGGGCCAGGCGGGCGCGCTGCGTGCGGGGCGAGGGCTGCCCGGGAGCAGCAGGGCGCCGTTGCTATCGCCCTTCTAAGTTCAGGGGGTCCAAAGCGTGGGGCCAGTCCCGGTGCCCCTCCGCGTGGGGTGGGGGGAAGTGGCAGGGATCGTGGCATTCGGACGGCGCCTTCCCTGTGGTGTGCCCCGAAGCCTCCGCCATATTTTCCGGCTGCTCAGCGGCCTTCTGGTGTGCACCCGGGGGGGGGGGGCAGGTGCTGCCTTTCACCGGCATGCCACCCTCCTGGGCACTGGGGGGCCTCCCCGCCGCCCAGCTGTTTTTCCAGTGATCAGTTGTAGGATGAGGAGGAGCAGCTTCCAGGGCTGGGGGGCACCAGCAAGACCCCCGGCTCTTGGCAAGCCTGAGTCAGGTCAGTAGAGAAGCTTCAGCTCGGATAGAACTTAAAAGTCAGTCTACAGAAGAGCCCTTTCAAACTGCTGGCAAGACGAGGCTTAAGCTTAGGAAGAGTTATTACCTGATTTTCTTTTCCAGGAAAATACCATTTGATTGTTTGAGGGTTACATTTCCTCCAGCTGCGGCTCACTTTTTTCTCTAGAGCAGCAATGGCGAACCTTTCAGAGACCCAGTGCCCAAACTGCAACCCAAAACCCACTTATTTAGCCCAAAGTGCCAGCACTGCAATAACACCTGAAAACAGCCAGTCCAAGCAAATATATATGTATCTCCTTGGCAGTGCACTGACCAGCCATGCCAAAACTCGGACGAGTTGTGGCTAATGAGTCACAGCTTGTGATGTCATCGCCTGGCACCGCCACTCCTTTCTGAGCATGCGCATGGCCCCTTTGTGCGCTGTTATCCGATGCTCGGCTGCTGGGCGATGCTGGAGCGACTTGGCTCGCGTGCCAACAGAGAGGGCTCTGTGCGCCCGCTGCGGCATGCACGCCATCGGTTCGCCACCACTGCTCTAGAACCCAGTCCAGTGAAGACTGCTACCTCCTCCCTTACTCCTCCTTAAAACCAAGAGTAGATTTTGTGGCTTACAGTGTTTGTCTCCCCACTCTGTTTCGGACAGGCCTACTGGGGAGTTCGGATGACTGAGACGGAGGTCACTGGATCCTGGGTGCAGGGGAGCAGAGGGGAAGTGGGCGAGGGAGTGCTCTCTGTTCTTGCTTGGACGCTTCCTCTGAGGTCTCCTGTGGGGAGCAAAGTGCTAAACTGAGACCCAGAAACACTTCAACAACAATGACCTTCCTACCAATAAAAGCCTGTTCTTGCATCGGTCATTTCCACCTTGTTCAGCTGCATATGTAGGCGAAGCTTGCGATGTGAACCAGAAAATCATAGATCAAAGTGTGCATCTGCAAATTTAAGAGGCGCAGTTCGGCGAGCCTTAGTCCTCGGCGGGGATGGTAATATTGGACTAACCTACAAGATCATTGTAAGGTTTGCTGAGATTATGAGATGATTCCAAGTAGTAATAGTGTGTGTATGTCTCCCACTTGGAACATCCAAAGCGTAGTACAAGTTCCACAAGCGCAGTACAACACAGGAGATGGTTGAGTGCAGTGTGCCCATTCGCTGTGATTAGACCCTTTGCAGTTCACAGATAGTTTGTGAATTTAGCATTTGACTCAGACATTGAGAATTGAAAGCTGAAAAATTACAGGACATGTTCCTTTGACAGCTGTAATAAACATAATTTTATTTTTAATTTATTAAATTTATATGCTGCCTTTTTAATTTTAAAGAACACGAAGCAGCTTACACCCTTCTTCTCCTGCTGCTCTCCATCTTATCCCCCCAACAACAACCCTGCCTGTGACTGGCCTAAAGTCGCCCAGTCTGCTTTATGGCCGAGCGGGGACTAGAACCCGGGTCGCCGGAGTCCCAGTCCCATGCTCTTCACCACTGTGCCACGCTGGCCGTCTGCAGGACCTTCTGAACATGTTGTGTGCACGAACAGAACGATTCAGATGGTTGCTTTCAGTTGTGCTCATTAGTTTGAGAGACATCCAGGGTTTTAGCTAAACAAAGAGGACTCTGCCATTTTCTATTATGGTAGCTTTTCTACAAACCAGGTTTTTGAAAATTACTGCAGAATTAGCCTGCCTGGCCATTTTCAGCTTTTTATTCTAAATGTTCGGGTTGGGCCTCAAATGTTGCTTGTTGCCCTGGGGGAAAAGTAGGATGCGAAACGCACTGAATGCTTCCACCGCGTGTGGTTTGGGGTGGCAGCCCAGTGTGAGAGGCATGTCCAGTCCTCCCTGCGTGACTTTGCCGGTCTGCGTGGCCACCGTTGGCCCCGGCAAAGTGAAAGCAGCGTGGGCGCTGCGAGCTGACGCTTTCTGTTCCATCCAGCGATGAGAACGAGCGTCCCTAAGGTAAAGCTTCTGCAGTCTCTCAGTGACCTTTTCGTAAAGCATTATAATCAAATTGAACATTTCCAGTTGTACCATTAATGTTTGCCCCTTGGGGAAATGCGCCCTGTTATTTATTATCATTACTCTTATTATTATTACATATTTCTGAGACACCCTTTGAGCTGAATACAAAGTGACCACTCCGGGATCTGGCTTCAAGGTCTCTCTGGGCTGGGGGCGCTCTGCTCTGGATGCGGCCCCCGTCCTGGCTGCCCCTGCGAGCGCTTGCGAGACGCACTGCTGGGTGGTTCTTTCTCCTCCGCTTCTCCTCCTGCAGAAGCTTCGAGTTTAAAGCAGCTTTTTCTCCTGCCTACCTACCTATAATTATTCCCTCTGTAATTGCTCCAGATTTGTGCCAGCTCTGGTCTTGCAGCAGCTAATCCTAGATTTCAGGGAGCACCAGGCCCGCGTCTGAGCTGTAGCATTTTGGAAGGCAGCTGGAGAGGTAGAGGACCAAATTCTCCCTGTTTAAAAAACAAAGCAAAGGCACACAGTCTGCACACAGAAAACAAGTAAGGCTGCAGGATGCAGCAGTTCTCCTTCATTCGCACTCCTGAAGGGGCTGAGCTGCGCTGCCTGATCGGAGGCCCGTCCGGGGGTCCCACGGGGAGCCTTCCCAGTCCAGTGCGGTGAGGCTGAAGGGCAGGAGAAAGGCTCAGCTGCTTGGGAGGGGCTGGAGGAAACCCTGTGGGTGTCCTGATAAAGGCCGCAGTGGAACCGTCTCGCCCCCCCCGCTTAAATTTAACCCCTGTGGGCTGTGCTCCCCCAGAATCTGTAGGCCAGGCCCATGGTGCATGGCGGCGAAGAGGCATTCCGGGGACTGAGAGAGAGCACACCATGTTCTGCCTGCTGCCGGTTTCAGGGATTCTGGCAGGGCTGCGAAGGGGGAGCGCGTCCTTTGTCCAGCTCAAAGGCAAAGGTCCCCCATCCCCGAGTGGCCGGCCGGGTGCTTGTGGGAAGCCCATGAGCCGGACATGGTGGGGAGAGGCTCAGCTGAAGCTCCTGCTTTGCTTTGAACTGGGGTCCTGCTTTGAACACAGCAGGAGTGGAGGTTAATCGGGGACGTCCCAGCATATCAGTGCAGGGCCATAAAGTCGGAGCGGAAGGCCTGTAGGCACAGCTCTCGCCCCGGCCGGCCGTTAAGCAAGGGTGTAAATGAAGCTAAAGACTCTTTCAGCTCTCATTACGGTTCACACTACCAGAAGCGTGTCGTGTGTGAGTCCACAGATGCCTGCTCCTGGTTGTGCACCACTCGGCTGTTTTGCGTGAGCCGCCTGCAGTCCTCGTTCAGTGAGCACCTTTGGACTGTTGCGGGAGAGGGGCAGAGCGAGGCTAGATGGCAGCCGGGGCCCTGCTTGGCTGTGCTTTTTGATAGCGTGATGGCAGGGCCTGTGCAGCTGCAGCGCTCTAGCTTCTCCAGATCTCAGCCACCGCTGACATGAGTGGCTGCTCCATCCCCAGAGCGTTGCTTGTGCTCAGAAATCACGTTTGTCACCTTCTACGAATTTGGGCTGGTGTAAATGGGCTGCGTTTGTCCTGTGCTCACAGCTCCTGCCTTAGGTCTTTGGACT